AAAAGTCCAGTTTCACTGTGCGAAGTGGCTGCCAACCTGCCTTCAAACACTTCTGTCCTTTCGCCTGCATTGCTTGTTCAGGCCCTGCACAGCGACCTCTCTGCCACACTGCACGTTAGACAGAAGTGCTCCAAAACAGAGTGATTTTTAATACAAATCACTGCCCTGTTCCTGGTCAATCCGCAGCCCCAGRAACTCTGCACTTGCAAAATGCAGCTGGGGGTGGAGCGTGTCCCAGCATCACCGATGCCTTTGTGCAACTGCAGCTTGCAAGCGTGATGTGGGGGCAGAAACACCTTAAGCCTCTATTGTCATCAGGCATGTTGGATCATGAAAGCACAACCAACGGGTGGAGTTTCGTGGGCCGTGGGTTTGGACAGCAAAKCTGCTTACAAGTTCCCACCCTATCTGCTCCCTTCTGCAGGCCCGTTCCTGGCACAGCTTCCCAAAGAGTTTCCCTGACACAACAAAAAGGGTGGCAAAGGAAGGAGCAGGCTTCACTGCTGCGGCCAAATCTTGTGAAACTGCAGCCTAATTATTGACTGTGGAGAACAGTCTGCTCGGGACAAGGGCTTGCCAAGGGCTTGCCAAACAACTGCTCCAAAAGCAGAGGCTGCAGGCCCAGCAAAGACCCCGGACTACAGGCTCCACCAATGCCTGCGTYAGGGAAACTGCTGCCAAGTAAGCTTAAGTTGGGAAAACCAATATAAATTTCACTTTAAATAGATAAATAAGAACAGGTTTTCCAGGCTGTAATCAGTCTCAAGGTATTACCTGAAGCATAGAAAGCACTCAAGATATCTACACATCTCTCAGGTTGAGTTAGGTAAACTTAAGTCAAAGGTGGCCACGTAGTAAAACAACAAGTATTAAGCCTCTAGTTACAGCATTAAAATCAGTAGGGAAAAAAAAAAGTTAGAAAAACAGCCCATAATTATTACTAATAGCAATTCAAATTTCTTGTTTTCTTATCACACATTTTGGGATCTGTATTTAKTTGCTTGCTGATTAATAGCTCTACAAAGATAAAAATTAGTTTGCAGTTTCAAACTCCTTTCTTTTTTTCTTCTCTTTTCTTCAGTCTAAAGGTACAGAGGTGGACTGAAGAAAGCCCAAAAAGCAGAAATGAAGGTGTGACAGTTGGCAAGCGGGCCAAGAAAACCTTCTGCTAGCGCTCTGAAGAGGAGGCTGCAGAACAAGTTTCTCTTAAAAAAGTAGTAACCGGTTTATCAGGTTGGAGGAATTCACGGGTTCTTCCTTTCCTCCCCCTCCCCCAAACCCTTTTTTCCCCAAATGCTCAACCCACCAGCTTATTTCCTGMTGAATTTGATGATATGCAAGAAAATCCATTGCTCCTGCAGCTCAATAGGATGATCCATAGGCATTCACACATGTTTTAGAAACATGGCCATTTGCTGTCATGGTCATCTGATGAAAACCGTCTCTCATTCCTTCCATTTGCACAGAACTTGGCTTCATGGAAGGTAATAAAGAAACTCCCTGCACGAATTTTATATGTGCAAAATATGAATCAAATTTATCCCTGTTGTACTGGACTCAAGCTACAAAAGATCAGCAGGRATAGGGCAGTCTACCAAGCAAGTCTAAGATTTAAATAAATGGCACTCCATAGGGAAACTTGGATGTCTTCAACAGGTCAAAAAGATGCCCGGCTCCCAYGAGAACCTCTCTCTTTATATTTATTTTTCAAAGAGAGATGCTAATTACAACTAAGTACTGCAGACAGCTCTCCCAAGCTATTAGCTCTTCTTTGACTGTATTCTTTTTCAGGGAGACATGCAAATATTGCCTTGCATTAGGGAAGTCAGACRTCTTAGGGCAAGCCATGCTGATTCAGGCAGGTTTTAGGTTTGGTAGGGGAAGGATTAATAAATCTACACTTTCARCTTGGTATTCTATTTTTTACTTGGAAGTGCTTTAGCTAAGACCATAGAAGCACTTGAAGATGTCAGCTTTGGATGACAGAGCCATGGGGATGACTGAAAGGCAAAGGAAATTTTGGCTTTTAAAGCAAGTTTCCATTCCTGACAGGTTACGGAGAGCTATTTGGAAACTCTTCTTAATCTAACCTCTCCAAATCTTGGAAATTGGGAAACTGTGAAGTACAAAAAAAAAAAAAAAAAGAAAAAGAAAAATAAACAAACACACTAACTAGGAAGATCACTAAGTAACACGCTAGTTAAGCCAGTCCCGTGATTTGGGGGTCTGTCCAAGGCAACCTAGCCAGAATTTCCCAGCAGAGCAGGAAAACCTGCAGGAGACCATTACCACGTCAAGGACCGCAGGTAACGCATGTCTAGGGGCCGACATGCCACGCCTGAGACAGCTCTAAGCACACACTTGAAGCAAAGAGCTCCTAATTACTTTGTTACAAACATATATGCAATCAAAAAAAGGTTAAGCCTCAGATTTTTCTCCTCTCTTTTTTTGGCAAATACAACAGATCTCAGTTCATCATTAATGTTCAAACAACCCAGTCAAGGCCTGTTATCTCTGCCATTCTCAGCTAAATACATTAGACAGACTGCTCCCAAAGGACACAAGATTTACAACTGCAGGTAACYGTTTCCCCAATATCTGGGTGTTGATAGGATCTCATCCCCTTCCCCTCAAAATACAGCTATCAAGCACATTACATCATCTCAGGAAAATATAGGTAGCCTTCATAAAAGCACTCATTACTGTAGAATCAAGTGCTCGCCCCTCTGGATAAGGGCAGCAMTCAAAATTTCATAACAAATGCACAGAACATACGGTGCAACCAACAGTTATTTGGGGGCCCAGAAAAAAAACGTTCTGGAAAAAAAATCAAAACATTTCCAAAGAAACTCCATTAGCAAGTGTGTATAAGATGTAACAGCGTGAGATCCTGACATACCATTGAAATAATGTATCTGCTCAAGAGCTTTGTTGGAAGCAGGGCAAAAGATCTAAATCATTGCTTACATGCTTTGGGTGAAGCTACCACTGTTGGAAAGCTGACTCAGTCACAGGAGATCTCTGGTGCTCAGTGGAACAAACTCCAGGCCTGCAGTAGCTGAACTACAGCTTTGCTTCATAATGGGAAAATAATAAAGTTTCACAATACAAGAATGGATTTGTGCTTGTAGTCTCACTTCCTTCTACATGTAGCGACTGGGAATCAAAGGCAAAAGCCAGAACAGGCCCCGAAACTTTCACTTACGTGATTGAGATGTGTGCTGAAGTGAGCACTTTTCAGCTGCATCATCAGATTTTCTACCACAATCCAAGCAGGGTGTGGAAAGCTAATTTCACAAGTGCTACAGTATTATCAGAAATCAAGGCATAAGGCTACTTCCTTTTCCTCCTCCTTTTCAAATAACCATTTTACCCACCTGTGCTTTTGCTAACCAAAACATGTGAAGCAATCTAGATGAAGGGGAAAAAAATACCTGCATGTGTCGACTAATACCTGACTCATTCTTAAAATACATGATGCTATTAAAATATTCAGTGGATTTCTCTCGAAAACTTCAGAAAAGGATGTACTGTTAGAACTTAGGAATTCTGTTTTTTGCCACCACTGCAAGTGGGAGGRTGAATGAATTCTCCACAAGCTCCCAAGGAGGAAAGAAGCCCGGCTTAGGTAAATAGTGTTCCAGCAGACCCRTGACAGAACTGTCCTTATAACTAGCATCCAACAGCTCACAGCAACACCATTCTTTAGTTGCATGGATACACCAAATAAAAAGGAAAAAAAAAAAAGAGGTTGGGAAAAAGTTGTTTTTCAGGAGTCTTTGCCACACCTCCACAAAAGGTAGTATTTCCCTTTATTTGCCGAAACAGACCCACCTACAGTGCAATTTACAGCAATAAGATACAATCTCTCATAAAGTATTGAGTATAATTAAAGTGTGTCTGTTATAAAGGTAAACAGAGTGTACTAGGCTAAGCTGTTCCAGATGTCTTTAGTGCAAGATCTGGGACAAGATCAAACTTGCAGCTGCACATTTTCTCAGGGGTTATTTTGAAGCTACACAAATCACCTCTTAGACTCTCGCAAAGCTTTGTGTAGAACAAACGACACCAGCGACGAACACTGACAAAATTTAAGACACGTTTAAGTTGCACCCTTGTAGTTTTAAATACGCGCACTCCAGACTGAAATGTTAACCATTCAGTATCAAAGAGGGTTAGTACCTCGTCTGCCAAGTTATCTCTCTGTGTCACCAGAAGTTACAGCAACGTGAACCTGTTCTACTGCCTAAGCAAGTTTCTTGCAGAAACACACCTACGARTGATTCAGACAAGGTGTGGAAAGCCAGGTTTATATGTTCCACAAAAATGCACTATTGTATTTTTCCATTCAAGCACATTTGGTATATGTAAGAGACAATGAGAGAAAGCAAGAGCTCATGCATGTGCTGTATCCACATGAAAAATTCTTAGGCAACTTTTAGTCTCCTGAACTGCCAGATTTATGAATTTACAGATTGTTTCTATAATTCCTTATTTTACTCTTTTGCTCATTTAATAACAAACTAACACCAAATAGCAAATCAACCAATCCTTTAACTACTCACTAAAATAAACTAATTAAGTTCACCTGGAAACTAGTTTTATTTATTTATTTWTTTTTCTTCCAAACACATGTTACCATAATGAAGCTGTAGATTACAAATACTGCTTGAAATTTTAAAGTTTGATCAGCATTACTAAATTCAGTTGTGTTATTAGAGCAGTATATTTTTTAGGGCTCAAGTAAGATGAGTTTGGAGAAAAAACAATCAGATGCCAGAGCTTTCAAGAACTTAGAGCATCAGCTAAAATATTTTTAAGGTGTACRCAGCTGTTTCAGAACCCCAGGCTTCTTAGAGAGCTCAAGTCTCTCTTTTGGAATAATTTTAGCATAAATACATCTGAATTCCAGGATGTGCTAGTGATTTAAAGGCAGATTCTAGTTCTTAACCGACTCTAGCTCCCAGCCTTCACCCCGGATAGCCCCTGCTTAACCTCACCTGTTGAAGAACCCGGTCCAGAGGCTCAGCCTTGCCCAGTCCCTCTGGTGTTAAACCACTCACTTCTCGACATTGGTCGCTTAGCTCCAAATTGTCTGCTTTCACCAGGGATTTGTGCAGCGTCCCTACCTGAAAAGTCAAGAAGCGACGGACAAAAGTGAGGTGTGATAGAGGTGGCTCTTAAGCAGCAAGTTCAGGCGGCAGGAGACCCCGAGAAGCGCAGGACGGCCCCCGCGACAAGGCTCACGAGGAGAAAGAGCAGTTGTGGATTTCACCGAGGGAAACGTGGCCCCCGCTTGCCATCCCTCCCACCCAGGAAGGCCAAGGGCTCAGCTCGGGGGGAACGTGGCCACCTCATGCACTGCGCTTAGCGCTGCTTTGTTTTGCTGGAGTTGGTAGTTGCAGGGAGGGGAAACGGCATAAAGTGAAGAACGTTTTGCAAAGCTGAGCCCCAGATTTGATAGCGGTGGTTGTTTCAAAATTCTCTGGCCCCTGGGTGGCTCTCAGTTGTGATAGGCCTTACTAATACATTGTTTTAAAGCATGTTCTCGGATTAGCCAAAAAAACAAACAAAAAAAATTTTTTTTTTTTTTTTTTTCCCCCTCGCAGAAAATCAAAATATTGGTCAAGAAAACCCCAACTCCAGCAGCAGGCCGCAAAGGGTCAGATATTTCCCCCAAAAGCATGCAGTTTGGAGCCTGGAGGTTCCTCTTTTAAACCCTCACAGGTTCAGAGAAGACATCTTAAGAGCTTGAATCCACCGAGGTTTCAAGCAGGGAGACAAAAGAGGGGAGGGGAATGAAGCGGCCTGACTTTCAAAGAAAGGTGACTTCTTCCTTGAGAAGGGAACAAAACAAGCGCCCTGGGAGAGGACCGCGCCGCGCTGCCCGCTGCCCTCGGTGCGGCTGAGGAGCGCTCCGAAGCCATACCTTCTTGCTGGGTAGATCCACAACTTGCCACACCAAGAGAATTAGTTCCCTCTCATCCGAACCCAGTTTAGCCCCATATGCACCAGCTGTTGCCCCAAACAACACCACCAAAGAGTCACTGTGCGAAGCCGTCATGACCACAGGGGGGAAACAACTACAATCAAAAGCAGAGGTCAAAAAAAGAGAGAGGAAAAAAAAATAAAAGAGAAAAAGAAAGACACACAAACGAACAACAACAACAAAAAGAACAAAAAACTCCCACGAAGCTTCGCCCCCTACCTCCAAGTGATCAAAAGGGAAAGGAGAGAACAAGATCACGCTATGGAGAGGAGAGAGAGCTCCTTGGGAGGCAAGGGGGGAAAAGCCCAAGGAGAAACTTGCATCTCTACCTGGTCCCGGTGATCTCCTTCTTGCCGGGGCTGATTGGGAGGCGAAATTAGCAAGCTGGGGCTTTCTTTCCCTCTGACATCATGGCAGAAGCCCAGCCTGAGGGTTTTTTCTTTCTTTCTTTCTTTCTTTCTTTTTTTTTCTCTCCCCTCTCTCTCTCTTTTTTTTTTTCCTCTCTCCCCCCCTTCCCTCTCCCCTTCCCCTCTGCGGAGTTACCTGCCCTCGGTGCGGCTCATGTGACTCTAGTCAATCTCCCGGAGGGCCGTGGCCATTGGGCCCTCGCAAAAGGTGTAGGAGGGCCGGGCAGAAGCAGCGCCTGGCTGATCCGGCCTGATTGGCGTTGGGGAGGGCTCCAGGAAAACTCCCTCTCCCTGCCTTTAATCCCGCTGTGCAGGAAGCACCTCTACCTGCTTTCAGTTTGGCGGGAGGGCGGCCGCGACCTGCGGCTCCCTCCACCCTCACAGGGTCTTCTCTTTTGCCAATCTGGAGGGTATATACGTACACCTACTGATATACGCACGTTACATACCTCCTATGTATGCATTAACACGAGATACRACTTAGCTTTGAAATCCACCGAAGCCCTTACTTGCTTCTAGGTAACTGCCTCCTGCAAACCTCCTTATTTACRCTCAGGTGCAGGCCCTGACGATCTACGGGGCTAATTAAAGGCACTGTATTACRCACAGGGCCTTTTTGGAAGGGGATTGGTGTTACAGACAGCAGCGGCTTTGCAGTTTAGGCCCTGTTGTGCACTGGGCTTGGCAAAGGTAGATCCCAGTGAAACAGYTTTGCTTTGGAGGGGCGCGCCTAGCAAAACAGGGGCCTGAAGTCCTTGCTCTTCCACCCTATAACCCTTTAGACAGGGCCTATTTCCTTGGCTTTACCTGCAGTCCAGACTGGCATTTTTGTTTCATTTCTGTAGGAATCTTTACATCTCTTTGAGTTTCACAACAGAGCTGTCTGTGAGACTACATAAGGGGAAAAACACCCCTGGCCTCAGCTCTTACCAAAGGTCCTCAAAAGCATTTCTGCAGGACACCAGCAGCTGCAATATTCCTAACATTAGGGGCTCCAATTTTGCACACATATTTCACCCCAAATGTATTTCAAAGCCGAAATGATGACAACAACAGAAAACAAGCTTTGGACCATGTTACTAGTTTTCCTCTTGCCGCCACTGATGATTCCTAATTGGCAAACACTGCAATTTAGTCCAGTCATGGTGATAATTTTTTTGCTTAATTAGACCTTCAATTTGTACTTCAATATTAGTGTTGGATTGAAATTTCAGAGTGAAAAATAGTGCAGCTATTTAGCTACTGATCTCTATCAGGGGAAAATGCAGGGCTGGACATTTAACTATGAATATCTAATGGGTTTAAATATTAACATCCCATTTTCCTCTTCTCCTATTAACATGCTAACTTTATAATTGGTTAATTTTTATGTTCTTTTGCAAGTCTTATGAAACAGCTGCTTTATGGACCTAGTTCTACAAACACTTACTCATATATTCAACACCACTAGCCAAGACTATTTCTATTTTCAAAGAAAGTAAACTACATTTCAAAGGGGGTATTTCATCTGAATTAGCTTAGAATCCATATATTACAAGTATTTACCTGCCAGGAACCATAGAGAGGAACACCACCACACACACAACCCAGGTGTACCCTGCTGAACACCACCAGGTAACAGTTAAATGCCTCTCAGGTGCAGCCCACATGTGCTGCTGTTTGACTATCAGACCTACAGAGGCACTTCCTGCACAGCAGAATTAAAGGGAGAGAAAGGGACTTTTTCCTCTGATCCCTTTCAAAGATATATATATATACCTATAGATAGATAGATACAGATATCTTTATATATAAATCACTGTTGTAGAAATAGCAAGTCCCTAAACACACAGAGATGAAGACTGTGATTTACAAAAGATGTATATTCACACATTAAAAATGTTATAAATAGCCTTTCTTTAGCATTGCTGAACTTACACAATAGCTAAAATTTTCTTAAATTTCTCTGCTAATRTATGGCTAGGATTCAAATTGGTTCAAAACACACAAAAAAGGAAAAATCATATTAGCCTGTTAATTGAATATAGAGGCAGGAAATAAAAACACCTGCTCCTTCTATCCCAAACTATTCCTCCTCTTTCAAATGTAYATATATCCCAGGGGAATCAGGGGGTGTATGAACAGGAACATATACAGGAATTTGCTCTAATACAACTTTCACAGAAAAAAAGTACCAGGCTGTTGCATGTTAGCTACCTATAGCATCTTGCCACTCCGCACTGCTAATACTTAACTGCTTGCTACAGAGAGGGATAATTAGCACATTTGTATAGCAGATCATACACAAAATACACTCTTGGCCAGTTTTACAGACGCACTGTAAAGGCATGACAGCCCTCAATGAATTGGCACAAAAAATGCAAATCAATGAATATATAACTGTCTTTTAGGATCTAATGTGAAAGGAAAAAGTGAAAAGCTTCAGTTATGGCAGCATGCCAAGTTAAAGAAGTCCTTGGAAAATTATTTGAAACTTATACATGGTATAAATGGCTAATACGCCTAGCATCTTGTATGCTTTTCCCAAATATATTAGCTCATCTAATAAAACATAGTACCTCTTCCTACCAAGTTCATCTGGTTTATACCTTAGATTACCTTGCCTGGCATTTTTCTGTAATTAGTAACTTACCTAAATTATTCCAGCTAAACTGACCTCAAGTGTATTTTAAAACGCTTTTTTTTTTTACAAATATTAAAAAGAACATGGATCTTCCTGGGATTTCAGACATTCTAAAGTATCGTATCATGCAACTGTCTTCCCATTCCCCTTTTATTCTGAATTTCCGCCTTGCTGCATGCGACTTTTAATTATACCAGTTTCTGTAATGTTATTGCCATAAAAAAAAATGCATAGGAATGATATAAGATGTCTCCAAAGAACAGCAACAGGATCCATTTCCTGAAACGAAATGTGGGATAAGCCCGTGTGCACTAAGCATTAGCAAAGTTAATTTGTAACCAAGATCTTGCTGAAATAGAGAGTTATGGCTCACCTTTACCTTTAATCCTGGCAGTCATATTTATACAGGTTCTTTTCTTGTAAGCTCTACATAAGGATAAGGTCTTACAAATTTAATTATCTGGAGAAAAAGAAGTATAAATATGGACAATCAATATTATTCAAGTTTAGGATTGTGATTAACTGGTTCACTTTTTATCAAACAAAATTAAGCAAATGAGAGAAATGAAACTGTTTTATAGTTAAGGCACAATGGAATGCTTAGGAAGCTCATTAAATGCATTGGACAATTCATTGCCATAAACAAATCTGTAGTAACTCATTCTTCCCTACAGTCCCATGAATCAAGGCACACATCAAAGCAAGGCATGAAACAAAGGAAAAAAGAAACAGCAAAACAGAAGTTAGAACAAAATCCCCTTTTACTTAAAACTTCACTATACTTAAAAGACACTGTTATCTGAAAGTTTGAATCACTGAAGTCTTTCATTATGGTCTAGAAAAAGGATTGTGAAACTGGGAGACATGGGAAAGGGGGTGAAATCSCTGTGACATTCACATCTTCTGTAAAACTTTCTCTCCGTGAGCCTGAAGTTTCTGTCCCAAATTAGTACAACACCRACAAGTTATTACTCTTCCTTAAGATTGCTTTACCCAGCCATTAAAAAGAAGACAGTGATGATGATGATTAATCTTGTAAAATGTTTTGAAAGGCTCTGAGCAACATGAAGTTGGATCTAACTTCAAAATTGGCTGTGCTCTGAAGGGGGCAGTTGGACTAAATGACCTCCAGAGGTGTCTTCTCACCTAAATTATTGTATGTGATCTATAAGCAAATGTGAAAAGACATTTAAGTTTCATGACCATTCGGTCCTTGGTTCCTGAACTGAGATTAAAAGCAACTGTGGTAATGTTTTCTGAAGGAGGAGTTTACTGTAACTCCTACAAGATAATCCATATGTAAAGAACTCTCTGGCATTCTTTCTTGAACAGCAAATGAGTGGGAAAGGGCATGGGAATACCTGCTTAACAGTGTTCTTTGATTGCTGTCCAGATGTTTTGAGAGATCAGATTTTGGTCTGCCAGGTAGGTCTGTCATGATTTTAATGCAATGAGGAGACCTCAAAATTATTTCCATYGTGATATTCGCCAAAGCCTAGGAATATGCCCAAGTTTTTCAGAAAGGTAGTTTCTGATGGATTATTGTGTGGCARATACAGGTCCCATCAAGCAGTACTGAAATTATTCACTTATTATCCTGTATCAGTTGGAATTCATTGTCTATTGACTCAAAAGACAAATTAAAATATACAGTTGGTGATTAGGTTAGATAACTAAAATGGAAATAACTCCTCCTGCTATTTTGCACAGCTCCTCTCCTTTATGGGACCACAATTAATCCATTGCCTTAATCCTACAGGAGTGTTACACACGCACAACTGCCACTGCAGTATAGATGTATGTTGCTTACCTGAATTTGTCCAGGTTATAGCTATCAAGCTTTTGAAGATCCAAGTCCTTTCTACCAAATTTATGGACAGATCAAACATGCATCACATTAACATATTTCAATAGTATTCTTAGAGATTTGAATTAAAGTTAACAGCTTATGGCAAATTTCCCATGATTTTAAATTATTTTCTTGTGTGACAAGAATCAAATAATTCATTATGACTGTTCTGCTGTTATTTTGTTCTTCTAGAATCATTTGAACTGTTAGGTGGAAGGGATCTCTGGAAGCCATCGTGTCCAACACCATGCCAATAGCTGGACTACTGCCAGCACTAGACTGAATCAGCCATGGCTCTGTCTAGCTGATCATTGAAAACCTCTACGGATGGACATCCTAAACATGAATGGGTACCTGTTCCAGTGCTGGACTCTACTGCTGATGAAAATGTTTTTCCACACGGCCAATTTGAACCCTCTCCTAGGTTTTCAAATAACTCCGTGGAACTAGTTGAGACAAGATCTTTAAGCTGTGGTAAGTCAGACAAGGCATGTGATATGATTTCTGCTCCCTGCYGAGATGAATATG